TCTCTCTCTCTCTCTCTCTCTCTCTCTCTCTCTCTCTCTATCTCCAACCGCACTATTGATGTCTTCTTGTTATCTGTTTACATACGCATGTCAGGATGCACAGAGCAAGCAGCAGGAGGTCTGGTCTCATCGTTGTCGCTCCTAGATAAATCAATCCAGCAACGGACAGTGGGCGGTGTGTCGTAGCGCACCTATAATAGTAAACATTGAAGGGTTGTATAGGTGATATTACACATGAAGCGTAGGAGCTACATTATAGTAAACATTGCAGGGTCGTATAGGTCAGTGTTTTTCAACCACTGTGCCGCGGCACACTAGTGTGCCGTGAGATATTGTCTGGTGTGCTGTGGAAAAAAATAGGGGAAAAAAATAGAAAAAAAATAGAAAAAAATAGAGAAAACAAATATTATCCGCAAATAATGTGCCGTGCTGTGTAGTCTAGAGACTCTAGACTCTAGTGATCGGCAGAGTAACCATGTAATACTCTTCCATATCAGTAGGTGGCCGCAGGTAGCTAATTACTTTGAGACAAGAGAATTAGTGATACATGGATGCGACAGGTGGCGGTGACAGTGGCATTGTGGCTAGCGAGACTATACAGCAAAGATCGTATAGTGCCGGAGGCCTCCGGCACTATACGATCTTTGCTATACAGTGACAGTGATGGAGAAGTTTTTGAAAAGGAAAGATGCTAACTCTGAACTAGACCCTGGTACAAAATCCGGAACCAGGTGAAGGCCCAAGTATGAGTGGCGGTCAAAAGAAAGCAAAGACAGTTAGCGCAAGGCAATACAGCGAAAGCTATCTTTCATTTGGATTTACTTTCACCGGAGATGCAATGAAACCCACAGGCACTTGAAGCGTTTCAATAAAATATAATGCTAAGTAAATACGAAATATATTTACTACAAAATTCTTAATGTTTCTATAGGCCTACTCAGTACTCTCTTTCACCTATTATTGCCGATAGTTTCCTACCATTGCATTACCGGCTGCCATTGCTCTCGCCGCGCGACTGTTGCACGCTTACACTAATATAAGAGTATTCAAATTGCCTCTCTCAGATAACACAATTTCCAGACGTATTAATGACATGTCTGCAGACATCGAAAGTGTGGTTTTGGAAAAGATCCGTATCAGTGAGAAATTTGCATTGCAGCTTGATTAGTCCACTAATATTAGTGGGCATGCTCAACTCTTGGCCAATGTGCGTTTTGTGGATGGAGACGCAATCAGAGAAAACTTCCTTTTTTGCAAGGCATTACCAGAAACAACAGGAGGGAAAATTTTTCGGGCCACATCAGAATATCTTGACGAAGGAGGACTTAAGTGGGAAAACTGCACAAGTGTCTGCACTGATGGAGCTGTAGCCATGGTCGGGCGCACAAAAGGCTTTGTAAGCAGAGTGAAGGAAAGCAACCCAGATGTGATTACTACGCACTGTTTTTTACCCCGTGAGGCCCTCATAGCCAAGACTTTACCAGCAGACATAGTTCCTGTGTTGGATGATGTTGTGCGCATGGTAAACTTTGTAAAGTCACAACCCCTGAAAAGTTGCATATTTGCATCTTTGTGTGAGGAAATGGGAGCGGAGCATAAAGCCTTGCTGTATCATACGGAGGTCCGGTGGTTGTAGCGCGGCAAGGTCTTGGCCCGTGTGTATGAGCTGCGGGAGGAACTTAAAGTGTTTCTGACAAATGAGAGGTCCGATTACGCAAAGCTGCTTGCAAGTGATAAGTGGTGTGCAAGGCTGGCATACCTGGCAGATATTTTTCATCATCTGAATGAACTGAACACACGAATGCAAGGCCGAAATGAAAACCTGCTTACAAGATAACAGATAATATAAATGGATTCCGTTCAAAGGTGCAACTCTGGCATGAACATGTGGAAAGTGGCAATCTTGAAATGTTCACACTCACCAAGCAATGGCAAGATGTTAACACTGCAGCATTGTGTGAGATAATAGTTAAACATTTAAAAACTCTTGAGGAGAAGATGTCATTTTAT